TAGATAAAGCATGATGAAAGGGTGGGTTTCTTTCCTTCCCCCTCCCCTCCTAAGGGACTTAAAGACAATATTGATTCTGCCCTACAGCAGTGATTATATGAACACTCCAAGCTGACAGTCTCTGGTACGATGGGGAAATGCCGATTAACATAAGATGTAAGAGTTTCCACAAGCAAGTGCTGACAAAATTAAGAACTGTATCCTTTACCAGGGAAGACCGTTCATTAGGGGACTGCCTCAGGTGACAAAAGCAGGAGAGGAGATAGAGCAGCCACCTTTCGCTCCAGAACCCTTCCTCAGAAGTTTCCTTCTGGTGCACATGTGTGTGCATATGTGTGCGTGCAGCCTGCTTTGCACCAGGTAAGCCCTCCAGTGCCTTCAGGTGCAATGTAGGATGCTGAGTCACAGAATCATAGAATCAGAGTTGGAAGAGACCTCATGGGCCATCCAGACCAATTCCCTGCCAAGAAGCAGGAAAATCACATTCAAAACACCCCTGACAGATGGCCATCCAGCATCTACTTAAAAGCCTCCAAAGAAGGAGCCTCCACCACACTTGGGGCAGAGAGTTCCACTGCTGAACAGCTGTCACAGTCAGGAAGTTCTTCCTAATGTTCAGGTGGAATCTCCTTTCTTGTATTTTGAAGCCATTGTTAAGCGTACTAGTCTCCAGGGCAGTAGAAAACAAGTTTTCTCCATTCTCACTATGACTTCCCCTCACATATTTATACATGGCCATAATGTCTCCTATCAGCCTTCTCTTCTGCAAGCTAAACATGCCCAGTTCTTTATCCTGCTCCTCATAGGGCTTGTTCTCCAGACCCTTGATCATTTTAGTCTCCCTCCTCTGGACACCTTCCAGCTTGTCAACATCTAGTCCTATCCACGTAATTGAAATAGGCTTCAGCTTCCTGTCTGAAATAATAGTAAACTCAATAAACTTTATTTATACTCCACTACCATCTCCTCAAAGGCACACAGGGTGGCTCCCAAAAGCACTCAATAGTGCAAACGTATAAAATACAATAAGTACATCAGCAAAATAACACAATAACAATAAAATTCTCCTTGTCCCAGGCCAGTCTCATTCTTTCCCAAGATTTGACTTCCCTGATTGAAGATATGAAAAAGGGTGTGGTTCACCAGTTTTAAAGTTTACCGAGTTTAATTGGGGGGGGGGGGGAAGCATCCTTCTTTTTGGAGAGCAATCCTCATCTGAGAGAATGGCTCAACAATTTGTTGAATGGATACTCAGGCTCAGGCCACCTTGTTTACTCCTTCTCTCCTTGTGGCATTTGTCTGTAGAAGGGATCCACATGCATTCACTGACTGTAGATTAATGATCAGAAGAATCTGGCTTGAGGGACAGCCTGGATGAGTCTCACAGGGCCCGCCTTACCATTAGGCAGAATTAACTTCCTCAAGGACAAACACTAATAACATCCCAATCATTCCCACTAGAAGGAGTGGTGTGTGAGTGATATAGATGTTGGTCCAAAACCCCTGAAGCTTTCCAGTTTGAAGGAAGACCCTCTCTTCTTATTCAAGTGCCAGTCCAGTAGACATCCCCATGTGACAAGAAGGAGGCCACCATCTTGTACTTTGCCTCAGGCATCAAAAATGTCATGGGATAGCTCTGAACTAAGTCTTATTGAAATCAAAGTAAATGTGGAATAGATCTTATGAAGATCCTTGCACACTTCTAGATATTTCCTGGTATATACACTAATAGGTGTCACATCCTACAACATAAAAGTATTTTTGGTTTACCCATGTGATGTGATGGATGTCTGGGGCATCCATAACCATTAAGTCTAGGGAATGTGGAGCCTCCTTGATCAGGGTAGTATACCACTTATTGTGAGAGTAATCAGCAAAGCACAGTTTATTGACTCATGCACTGCTTGTTAGTGTCCTGTGATAGAGAATAAGCGAATCCTAGAGTTGGAAGAGACCTCATGGGCCATCCAGTCCAACCCCCTGCCAAGAAGCAGGAAAATCACATTCAAAGCACCCCCGACAGATGGCCATCCAGCCTCTGTTTAAAAGCCTCCAAAGAAGGAGTCTCCACCATACTGGTTGGTCCTTGATGAAATCTGACTGTTGAATTGGTTGAACTATTGATTTAATCTAGCAAGGAGAGGACGAACATCTTTTACCAATAAAAGCCAAATTTCAGAGAAGTTTTCACGCATTCCCGGAGGCAAAATGAGACCAAAAACCCAGAGTAAATTTTAGCTTTAAATTCTTACTGTCCGTAACAAAGCCTTAGGAGATAAGTTTCAACCTTTTACATTAGGGGAGCCTCTATGCCAGGCATCCTCAAACTGCGGCCCTCCAGCTGTTTGGGCCTCCAACTCCCAGAAGCCCTAATGAGCTTTTTCAATTGTCAGGAATTCTGGGAGTTGGCAGCCCAAACAGCTGGAGGGCTGCAGTTTGAAGATGTCCGCTCTATGCAAATGCTAGGATGTCTTTTGTTGAGATTCATTATCAAATAATGGTGTCATGGAGAAAGAAGAGGGATAGATTAGGGGCCAGAAGGGTCAGAGTCCTCATTCATGTTGTAAAGAATGTTTGAAGGTTTTCTCCAGTCTTGTCCCACAAAGAGCCTATTACACTGTAGTAGTTCTATTCCACTTTAACTGCCATGGAAACATCAAATGGAATGGGTTGCTGTGAGTTTTCTCGGCTGTATGACCATGTTCTAGAAGCATTCTCTCCTGATGTTTTGCCCACATCTATGGCAGGCATCCTCAGAGGTTGTGAGATCAGTTGGCAACTAAACAAGTGAGGTTTATATATCTGTGGAATGTCCAGGTGGGAGAAAGAACTCTTGTCTGCTTGAGGCAAGTGTGAATATTGCAAATGGCCACCTTGATTAGCATGTAATGGCTCTGTAGCTTCAAAGCCTGACTGGTTAGTTGGCCCTGGTTGATTCTTGTCTGGAAACATTAAATGCTAATCAAGGTGGCCCATTTCAACATTCACACCACCCAGGACATTCCACAGATATATAAACCTCACTTGCCTAGTTTCCAACAGATCTCACAACCTCTGAAAATGTCTGCTATAGGTGAAGGTGAAATATCAGGAGAGAATGCTTCTGGAACATGGCCATACAGCCTAGAAAATGCACAGCAACCCAGTGATTCAAGTCATGAAAGCCTTCAACAACACATCATATGTAATCCTAGGATGTGTTGTTAAAGAAGAGACATTTAGATATCTCAGCCAGAGAGCTCTTGGTCCTGACTAAACTACAAGTCCCAGAATTCCATAGGATATTGCCATGGCAGTTAGAGTGGAATAATAGTGCTATAACAATAGTATTATAGGGCCCTAAGAATACCAGGATTGGAAAGATCTCATCACTTTCTCAGCTATTCTCAATTTCTTGTCTGTTGTGCCTATGCATGACATGGTATATTAACTTGCTACTATTTTGTGGCTAATTGTAATTTAGCTTCCTAACCTCCACAGGAAGGATATAAATACTGGCTTCTTTAGAAATTACAGGGCCCCAAACTGAACATAAGCAAGAGTGTGGTTGTTGTATAATGCCTTTTATAATTGCTCTCCTTCCCTCCTCCCAGAGTAGAGACAGAGTCATCTGCTTTCTATTTGATTCAGCCTGGGCGGGGCAGGTTGCGGGGGGGGGGGGGGGGGGGAATAATTCGGCTTGAAAAAATGTACGACCTCTCTGTTCTGTTCCTTTCAAAGTACTGGGGAGCGAAAGGTAAAGGTCTAAGACCTTCATCCTTTTGTTTGTCGTCTTCTGGCAATATGTGGAACTCAGATACCCCTTCTACACTGCCCTATATCCCAAGATGTGATCCCAGATTATCTGTCCAGTGCCAGATAATCTGGTATAAGAAGATAATCTGGGTTCAGATCCTGGGATATAGGGGCAGTGTGAAAGGGGCCAGAAACAAGTCTGGGTTCACGTTCCAAAGTGAATTCACTTTAGATCACAAAATCTAGACAATTATGCATGAACTTGATGCTCACTCTTCCTTGCTTTTGGCACCAGCTCAAATATGCCACAGGCTTTCATTCCAGAGATTTCTTCCAAGATCCAACAAGATCATTGAATTAAGAAATGCAAGCACTCAAGCTTGGAAAAGTTACTTCTTGAAACTATAAAACCCTGGAATCCTGCAGCCAACATGACTACTAGCATATTGACAAAGGGTTTCTTAGAATGGGTGGTCCAGAAAAAGTCACTCTCCCAAGCTCTTCTTCATATGGACAGATAAATATATGTATATGTATAACTCCATCTGTGCTTATCAATAGACAATTAGTAAACTTCACCAAACCAAACAATTCTGGGCCACCCTGCCCCCATCTAATAAGACAGGCTGCACCAAATACTTGGTAGAGTAGTAGTTCACAACCTGTGGGTCCCCAGGTGTTTTGTCCTACAACTCCCAGAAATCCCAGCTAGTTTACCAGCTGTTAGGATTTCTGGGAGTTGAAGACCAAAACATCCGGGGGCCCACAGATTAAGAATCACTGTGGTAGAGACAATTTATAAGATGGTGAAATGGCAAAATGGATTGATTGAATTGGAAGGGATTCAAGGCCTATCTAATACCTTGCCAAGCAGGACCCTGAAGTATACCTGAATTATGACCCTCCAACACCTGCTTAAAGACTTCCAATAAGGAGAATCCACCACCCACCAAAGTAGTCCATTCCAGTTCAAAGAGTCATGAGGTTCTTCCTAAAATTTGGGTTCAAAGAGAGAACTTCTGAAGTGCTAATACTTCCTAAACCAAGAAGCATCCTCTTTCATATCTAGATAAGAAGGCCTGGAAGCTTGTCCTCTCTCTGGATCTGGCCACTTATGTTGTCACTGTATGATCAGGATCTGAAATGGGTGTAAGTTCAGAAACAGGTCCCCGTGTTTGTGCATGGAAATTGAATTCTCCATTTGCTAAACAGATGGGTAAGAGGAGTAGTGTGACTGACATGGCCATATGCCTCTCTGTTTGTAGGTGCCAAGGCTGCAACTTCTGCTGCTCTGGAGTTTGGTTCTGACTCAGCCCGGTGAAGGATCCCAGCGTAGTGAGCCCATGTTTACAGCAGTCACGGACAGTGTTCTTCCCCAAGACTATGACAGCAACCCAACCCAGCTCAATTATGGAGTGGCTGTGACGGATGTGGACCAGGATGGAGACTTCGAGATTATTGTGGCTGGGTGGGTATCAAAGATGATGTAAACAGGTGTGGGAGTGGGGATGATGCCATGTGCAGGGTGGGGAAGGGGCTAGATTTGACAAGATGCTGGCCAAATAAGTTCCTTTAACAGTGCTGGGGAGCCCTGAATGGATGGGAGGTTTAAAGGTGATGTCACTGAGCTCGCCATGACACAAAGACCTAACAAAATCAAGAGTCCCTGTAAAAATAGGCCAGATGTTGGCCTGATTGGGAATTTCTGTAGGCTAGAGGTAGTCAATTCTCTTAAGCATTACAGCAGTGTTTCTCAGCCTGGGGAAATGACCAAGGGGTGTCAGGGGGGTTGTCAAAGACCATCAGAAAACACAGTATTTTCTGTTGGTCCTGGAGGTTCTGTGTAGGAAGTTTGGCCCAATTCTGTTGTTGGTGGGGTTCAGAATGCCCTATGATTGTAGGTGAACTATAAATCCCAGCAGTTATAACTCCCAAATGTCACGGTCTATTTTCCCCAAACTCCACCAGTGTTCACATTTGGGCATATTGAATATTCGTGCCAAGTTTGGTCCAGACCTATCATTGTTTGTGTTCACAGTGCTCGCTGGATGTAGGTGAACTACAACTCCAAAACTCAAAGTTAATGCCCACCACACCCTTCCAGTATTTTCTGTTGGTCATGGGAGTTCTGTGTTCCAAGTTTGCTTCAATTCCACAATTGGTGGAGGTCAGAATGCTCTTTGATTGTAGGTGAACTCTCAAATGACAAAATCAATCCTGCCTCCCCCCATCCCCACCAGTACTGAAATTTGGGCATATTGGGTATTTGTGCCAAATTTGGTCAAGTGAATGAAAATACATCCTGCATATCAGATATTTACATTACGATCCATAACAGTAGCAAAATTACTGTTATGAAGTAGCATCGAAAATAATTTTATTGTTGGAGGTCACCACAACAATAGGAACTATATTAAGGGGTTGCAGCCTTAAGAAGGTTGAGAACCACTGCATTACAGAATGTCAATCTTAATGTGTTTGTGGGGATATTTTTGCATATTCTGAAGGGGGTGGGTCTAGCTTATTCTACAGGCAAGAAAAGGTAGACAGGATGTGTGTGTACATGTGCGTGCGTGTATGCACACACAAATGTGTTACAACCTGCTGGCTCAGACTGCAACCCTTGAAGTTATTGCAGCGCAAAGACTCATATAGGTGGATATGGATGTTCATTTTCAATAAAGCTTCCCTTCAGCAGCAGCTTCCTCAAAGCTTACAACTTAACTGTCTCTCCAAGTCGTTTATCTGACAAACTGTTTCTGCCTGTAGCTGCCTGAGCCCATTCCTCTTTTCCTCCACTTTGGCCATGCTGGAGTCATGACCTAGTAAATAGGTGCTGGAGGGACCTGTCCCTTTATACTTGGCCACCACTTGTATAGCTTGTTCTGCCCATAAAACATCTCTGAACGGTATTGAGCTGGGAAGAGCATATATCCATTGGAGAACTTTTTATACCCACAATTTCCGGGAGAGCTAGATCATATCTCGTCATCAGCTGAGTTCATTTGCTCCAGGAATCTCACCCCTCCATAGCCTTTCTCCCTTGTTGTTCACTTGATTTGCTCTGCCTTTAGTCCAGAGGAATAAACTTTCTTGCAAAGAGTTGTGCTATTAGGCTCCCAGCCAGAGCTCAGAAAGGGTACTTTCAGGCTGCAGTTTTCAGAAGTACCCAGCTGTGTTTCCAAGAGTTGCAATTCAAAAAATCATCATTTTTCAGAGAACAATCCATTTAAGGTGTTACAGAACTTTCTGCTTCTTTCCCATTAAGCTGTCAGGCACTGGAGCCATCCAAAATCACATCACAGATCCTATGGCCATGCCACAGTGGACTCCATTAACAATGTCTGCAATTAGCATTTCAGCAATTATATCTGGCTGTCCCCTATGCCGTCCTATAATTTGCTCCAAATCACCTCAACCTAATCGGCCTACACAGCCATAGATTTTAGATCTCTTTGTGCTTCATGGATACCGTCCAAGAGCTAAATAGCATAATTTCTTTTTCTAGAGACAAATTTAGCAGAAATTGTTTTGTAATATAGTTGCCTGATTGTTGTCCAAGCAGCAATATGTCCAACGGATCTATAATCTTGTATTTAGAATAATACTAGACTCTCATTCTCTTTTGTTAAGACTCAATGGGACCCACAACAATATGTTGCAGTATAGGTGCTGCTATTCAGGATTCTAGATGTGTCAGTTCCTTCCATCTCAGTGTCTGGCTTATTTCCCCATACACATTCAACCAGCATCCCATGACCATGGAACACAATCAATTCTCACTGGGCTCTTCGGGAGTTCCCAGTGCCCATTCCCTTAAGCATTTTCCCAAAAGCAGTGTTTCTCAACCTTCCTAATGCTGCGACCCCTCCTGTTGTGATGACCCCCAACCGTAAAATTATTTTCATTGCTACTTCATAACTGTAATTTTGCTACTGTTATGAATCATAATGTAAATATCTGATATGCACGATGTATTTTCATTCAATGGATGAAATTTGGCACAAATACTTCATACAGCAAAATTTAATACTGGTGGGGTTGGGAGGGATTGATTTTGTCATTAGGGAGTTGTAGTTGCTGGGCTTTATAGTTAACCTACAATCAAAGGGCTTTCTGAACTCCACCGATGATGGAATTGAACCAAACTTGGCACACAGAACTCCCATGACCAACAGAAAATACTGGAAGGGTTTGGTGGGCATTGACCTTGAGTTTTGGAGTTGTAGTTCACCTACATCCAGATAGCACTGTGGACTGAAACAATGACCAAACTTGGCATGAATACTCAATATGCTCAAATGTGAAAACTGGTGGAGTTTGGGAAAAATAGACCTTGACATTTGGGAGTTGTAGTTGCTGGGATTTATAGTTCATCTACAATCAAAGAGCATTCTGAACCTCACGAACGATAGAATTGGGCATAACTTCCCACACAGAACCCTCATGCCTTGAAGGGACTCGCTGGCACAAACCTCCCTCGATTCTGTTTAAGCAGCTGAGAGGGAAAAGGAACGGGCCTGAGGCTGTTAGGAATTGTGGGAGTTGAAGTCCAAAACACCTGGAGAGCCCAAGTTTGCCAATACCATATATTATATGAACCGCTTGGATGTGTTGGAAATGCTGAATCAATTGAAAGATTTAAGGCAAAATTCGATGACCAAATAACTTCTGCACATAGAAGAGGGCACATGCCACCTTGCCCTATGCCTCAATAAGCAAAATGTCTTGGGATTGCCTTGGATGGTGATGTTTTAACTACACAAGCATTGACACTCATAGTCAAAACAGCAGAAACAAAATGATTGATCTCATTCACTTTTGCCCCAAAGGCATTATGCGTGTTAATGCTGAAGTGTTGCAGTGCATATCTTGACTGTCAGCCATTCAGACATGCTAAACCAGAACCTGGGGATGATGGGGAACACATTTTAGTGCTACAATGACCCAAATCCCAAATAGCCATGCTGGCTAGAATTGCTGAGATTTGATGTCCAAATGTAAGCCTGCTCACCAAGCCCCAGGATAAAGATGCCTCTTTGCTTTCCCAGGTTTCTTGCCAAGGTCAGTAGCTCTTTTTAACAGCATTTTAACAGCCTGTGTGGAGGAGTTGATAGCATAACGCTGCTACCTAGCACTCTAGTTGTCCTTCACAGGAAGGTGCGCTTCTGTCTGGTGTCACCAACAACTCTTCCTTCCTGTGTTGGTTGCTCCCCATTCAACTAGCTAGGTTCTGGGTCAGTGGGGCTGTGAATCTAGCCTATTTGGAGCAGTCAGGCTAAGTACCTCAGGGTGCTTCCTGACAGCAATAAATCATGGGTTTTAAACAGGAGCAAAAAATCTCAGGACTTCAGAAGAGGTCCACATACAGACCTGTTGGTCCCAGGATTTCTGCCTCCATTGTCCAGACTTGATGCTTTGTTGCAAGATTTAGAGGCCCCCAAGATGGCCACCATGGGACTTCCCCCAGAAACCTCAGCAGTTTGTAAAAATCCCGCAAGATTTCTGCAAAAGTTCAGTTCTTTGTCTTGACCAAAGAATGTGTGCCCTCCAGATGTTTCATGAAGGATCTACCACACAAACAAAACTAATGGGATAGGACAAATTCTTCCCAAGTCAGCACTGCACAATGATTGGTCGGCTCCTAAAAAGAAGGTGACCATTGAAAAGAAGGCAAAAACTTTGTGTGCGTGCTAGAAACTTCATGAAATGTGTAGAGGGCACATTTTCTCTGGCCAAGACAAAGTTGTGGCCCCCTATTCAATGTTTCACAAGAAGAGCAATCAGGAACAGCCATGTATAACCCAGGAACAGCACCCTGTTGTTTGATGCCACAAGTACACAACCAAATCTGTCTGGACAGATGGCCAGGCAGACAGGCTCTAGAAAGTGTCAATAATGACAAAGTTCTGTTCCTTTGTTCCTTGCTTGAAAGTGCTGGCTTCGGTGACAATTGAGGGCTTTCAACTCAGTAGGTCAATAAATCACCTTCACATTTCAGTCTGGACTTTAAAGGGGCTATCAAGCAAGGAACAGAACTTTGTCATTATTGACACTTTCTAGAGCCTTGAGTTTTCACACACTTTCAAGCAAGGAACAGAACTTTGTCATTATTGACCTTTTCTAGAGCCTGGCTGCCTGGCCATCTGTCCAGACAAATTTGGTTGTGTACTTGTGGCATCAAACAACAGGGTGCTGTTCCTGGGTTATACATGGCTGTTCCTGATTGCTCTTCTTGTGAAACATTGAATAGGGGGCCACAGCTTTGTCTTGGCCAGAGAAAATGTGCTCTCCACACATTTCATGAAGTTTCTAGCACACACACAAAGCTTTTGCTTTCTACTCAAGTGCCACTGTCTTTTTAGGAACCTACCGATCAGGAACAAACATTTTAAAACCAGGAACAAACCCAGATAAAAAAAATCCCGCGATTTTGATTGCAGGGACATACAGACATGTGAAGATCCG